AGATGAACTGCGCCTCGCCTGGAAAGTAGACGAGAGCGGGCGGCCACAGCGGGCCGGTGACAAAAAGCTGCGGTGAAGTCGGACAGTTTCCCGACAGTTTCCAGCAGCCTTCAGTCCGTACAGAAGTCACAGACACACTTACATCCTGTCTGGAATGATGTCAGTTAATTAAAAAAGTGATCAGACCCATATATCAGTTTGTTTTCAGTCTCCAGTTGTTTTTGTTTTGATTTGTTAATATACAGTAGACTACGTATAGTTTATGATGAATGTATTTAGTCTCTGATGACTAAACTTCGCGCTGGGGGCGGGTGTCCCACATTGTTCCTCACAAACCTACTCCTTGTCCCACATTTGGTTTATTGGGACCTAGTCACCCTACCTACAGTTGTGACCAATGCAGCGTTAATGCAGAGCCCTCCAGCGTTATGTTGCTCTGGACAGTTTTTGCCTTTGTAATCAAATTTGTAAATTGTTAAAATGGTATTTGAATGTCTCATTTCTTTAAATTAATTGGTCCTGTGACACAGCATTGAGACTCATAATCAATAAATTTATTGGAATATGTTTTGTTTCTGGTTTTTCGCACATCCTTACTCAGGTCATATTTTGCCCTCCCACTTTTACACAAAGTTAGGCGCCCATGAGCATGCATGAGTGTGGTTTAAGATCCTGTGGAGCAGAGGAATACTGTTACTAGTAGGAGTTGTATTCTGTTTGAGTATGAAATTATACAGTGTGCTGGTATATGTATTACTTCTTGTTTTGAAGCCAAATGCACAGCCGGAACTACATTCCAGACATACAGTACTTGCTGGGCGGAGTGATTTCAAACAGCTTATATTTAGTGCAGTTACTCCCATCATCAAAACAACAAGTTTGTTGAGAAGAAGCCAGAATATACAGAGGAAGAGTTACAGGTTTTGGAAGAAGAGAGAGCAAAAAGAGAGGCTGAGGCTGCCGAGCAACCAGGGGCTGAGGGGAGACCCAGAGCCGGTGGTGTAAATGTGGGGCTTACTGGCCACTTTATTAGGTACACCTGTGCAATATAAATATAGAGTATGCCTCAAAATAATCACCGGAATATGGGGAGAACATGCTAACTCCACACTCATAAAACCACAACTCCTGAAGGAACAACAACATAAAATGTTCCCTAGCAGTCTGTTTATTCCCAACAATGAGAAGTAATGCCAGTCACTTCACTATATGCTCTGGGCAAGCACTTATCCATAACATAACCACAACAACATTTGCATTTTAGCCTTATTTACCATGCTTGGGTTGTAGGCTAATGTTACTCAACATGGAAGTAACGTTACAGCAGAGAGATTGCTGAGCAATATACACAATGATCACTTACAGTACAGGCCAAAAGTTTGGACACACCTTCTCATTCAATGTGTTTTCTTTATTTTCATGACTATTTACATTGTAGATTCTCACTGAAGGCATCAAAACTATGAATGAACACATGTGGAGTTATGTACTTAACAAAAAAAGGTGAAATAACTGAAAACATGTTTTATATTCTAGTTTCTTCAAAATAGCCACCCTTTGCTCTGATTACTGCTTTGCACACTCTTGGCATTCTCTCCATGAGCTTCAAGAGGTAGTCACCTGAAATGGTTTTCCAACAGTCTTGAAGGAGTTCCCAGAGGTGTTTAGCACTTGTTGGCCCCTTTGCCTTCACTCTGCGGTCCAGCTCACCCCAAACCATCTCGATTGGGTTCAGGTCCGGTGACTGTGGAGGCCAGGTCATCTGCCGCAGCACTCCATCACTCTCCTTCTTGGTCAAATAGCCCTTACACAGCCTGGAGGTGTGTTTGGGGTCATTGTCCTGTTGAAAAATAAATGATCGTCCAACTAAACGCAAACCGGATGGGATGGCATGTCGCTGCAGGATGCTGTGGTAGCCATGCTGGTTCAGTGTGCCTTCAATTTTGAATAAATCCCCAACAGTGTCACCAGCAAAACACCCCCACACCATCACACCTCCTCCTCCATGCTTCACAGTGGGAACCAGGCATGTGGAATCCATCCGTTCACCTTTTCTGCGTCTCACAAAGACACGGCGGTTGGAACCAAAGATCTCAAATTTGGACTCATCAGACCAAAGCACAGATTTCCACTGGTCTAATGTCCATTCCTTGTGTTTCTTGGCCCAAACAAATCTCTTCTGCTTGTTGCCTCTCCTTAGCAGTGGTTTCCTAGCAGCTATTTGACCATGAAGGCCTGATTGGCGCAGTCTCCTCTTAACAGTTGTTCTAGAGATGGGTCTGCTGCTAGAACTCTGTGTGGCATTCATCTGGTCTCTGATCTGAGCTGCTGTTAACTTGCGATTTCTGAGGCTGGTGACTCGGATGAACTTATCCTCAGAAGCAGAGGTGACTCTTGGTCTTCCTTTCCTGGGTCGGTCCTCATGTGTGCCAGTTTCGTTGTAGCGCTTGATGGTTTTTGCGACTCCACTTGGGGACACATTTAAAGTTTTTGCAATTTTCCGGACTGACTGACCTTCATTTCTTAAAGTAATGATGGCCACTCGTTTTTCTTTAGTTAGCTGATTGGTTCTTGCCATAATATGAATTTTAACAGTTGTCCAATAGGGCTGTCGGCTGTGTATTAACCTGACTTCTGCACAACACAACTGATGGTCCCAACCCCATTGATAAAGCAAGAAATTCCACTAATTAACCCTGATAAGGCACACCTGTGAAGTGGAAACCATTTCAGGTGACTACCTCTTGAAGCTCATGGAGAGAATGCCAAGAGTGTGCAAAGCAGTAATCAGAGCAAAGGGTGGCTATTTTGAAGAAACTAGAATATAAAACATGTTTTCAGTTATTTCACCTTTTTTTGTTAAGTACATAACTCCACATGTGTTCATTCATAGTTTTGAATGAGAAGGTGTGTCCAAACTTTTGGCCTGTACTGTACCACGTCTGCTCGTTTAGTAATGCCGACAGATGGTATGGCAGTGTCTCTCAAGAAAGGAGTTTGAACCATTCCTGTGCTTTTGCGCTCCATCCTTTCAGCGTAGTCCTCTGGTAAGAAATGGCAGGAGCACACAACATTTTCCAGACCATTTCCACTGGCGTGTTGGGATCGATGTCCAGCACAAATAGCCATTGTTTCATCCTGTCCGTATTACTGGTTGGAACTATGTGAAACTTCACTTTGCTCCATGTCTTCAGCTTGTTACTGCAACCTTTTACAATGCATGTGTAAACCATGATTTACAAAAACACTTGTAAACTTTCCTCAAACGTTCTGGTGTGTCCAGCTGACGATACCGCAAATGGCTACAAGCAATAACAATGGCACTGTCTAAGCTGCGCACTGTGTCACTTCCCCCAGTGGTTTACTCAAGAAAGTAGTTCCGAGTATTTGCTTCATGTGTCATAATGTTACTTAATTATACATTATTATTTCATAGCGTGGGGAATGCGCAAGCCATGTGTTTTCCACTAGAGCGTATTGGAGTCATTTGATGGTGTATTTGATTAGTTTTGAGGGAGAGAAGGAACTGTACCATTCACCTCCATTTCAGCAGGCAGCTCTGAACCACCGATCTCAGAACAGCAAGCACTGACAATTAAAGGTAATGTACCTACTCATATGACTATAGGGACTACGGCAATAGGCGAATCTGCCAAAATGTCGAACTATCCCTTTAAGACTTGAATTAGATGTTAAGCAACTGAAGTGAGGAAAAAATAGAAAGCAAGCTGGTAGAGTTTGCTTGAGCAGCACAGAGACGCTGTCACAGAAAACACCGGAAATTACACAACACGCTTAACGCAATACGTAAGGTCAATGTTTTCAAATGTAAACATCAGTAAACATTGAGGAAAGATCGAGAAGAAATGGGCACCAACTGAACTAGCATCATGCTAGCCATTGTACAGACGTTTATCAGGAACTGTAATAATCTTTGATTCACCGAAACTTGGCTAAATCCTGCACAGCGCCATTCAACCAGGTAGCTCCTTTTCTATATAGCGATCCAACGGAGCAGAGGACTTTGACTAGAGAAGGAGAGGAGGAGTGTGCTTTACGGTGAATAAGGACTTGTGTGTGGGTGGGAATATAAGGTGCTCCCAGTCCAGCTGTGGATAACTGCTGTAACATTTCATCGTTCAAAGGCGAATGTAGTGTGGCGCTGACGTGTTTAGGAAGAAGCGACCTGATTGCTGTCTTGTTGAGGAAGGGATGTGTGGACAGTTAAGTCATTCCACAGCCAGGAACCATAGTTTACCAGAACCATCAGCCAACAACAAAAGAAGATGAAAACGGACTAAATTACGGTGCACAACTTAAAGGAGCTGATGAGTTGTTGTGCTATGTATTAATTCCATGTGACAAAAAAAGGATTGATTGATGACTGTGGGAGGAAGCTGGAGAACCCAGAGAAAACCAAAACTAATATGGGGAGAACATGCAAACTCTACAGAAAAGGTACCCAAGCCTGGGTTCAACTGTGAGGCAACAGTGCTTTTTTATTTAAAAAAGAGAACACTGAAAATAGTGAACAAATGTGAAAATAAATGGATAGGTGATAAAATGAAAAACCATTTGGTAAATAGTAAAAAGACTGAAAAGACTGCAGTGCTTTTCTAGTCTTCCAGCCATTTAAAGCGCTTCAACACTTCACATTTACCCATTCACGTCGCTTCAACATGTCACATTTACCCATTCACACACACACACACACACACACACACACACATTCATACACTGGTGGCTGAGGCCACCATACAAGGTGCCACCTGCTACTGAGTTGCTATTCACTCACACTCACGCACTGTTGGAACAGCCATCATGAGCAATTTGGGGTTCCGTATCTTACCCAAGGATACTTCAACACGCGGGCTGGAGGAGTGACCCGCTTTACCTCTAAGCCACAGCAGCCCATGTCCATATGATGCCATACACACAAAAAAACATGCTGTACTTTAGTTAACACACCATGATTTATGACATCCTGTGAATATCCACAGATTGATCGTCTCACTGGCATGGTCATGAACTTGACTGACTTGAAGAGGTGCATTGAGGTAAGATCATCTCAACAAGAGAAGGAGAAGCTACAATGCTCCCTATAAATTCCTCAAGGTGAAATTTAATTCAGTTTTTTCTGCATGTAAATCCTGATTTGTGCATGGTGTATTTTGGGCACACACACAGGCTCAAAATATACACCATGCGCAAACAGGATTTACATGTATTAATGTAATACTAATGTATTAAGATTTGAACTTTGAACTTTTGTTTTTGCTCCAATTTTTTCATGCACTCAATTGATGTCTTTCTTTCAATAATGCTGTCTTTTATTAGTTACAAATTTAAAGTCTAGTAAGCGCTTCCCCTTTTCCAAGATAATCCATCCACCTGAAAGGTGTAGCATATCAAAATGCTGATTAAACAGCATCAGTATTACACAGGTGTGCCATGGGATGCTCATAATAAAAGAACGCAGACAGGCATGTTTTTAGTAAGAGATACCCCAAAAAATCAGTCAGTGTGACCACCAGGGCTGGACCTCAATATTCAACTTGACACTCTATTTAAATTTAAGTTATGCCCAAAACACAACTATGATTAATTTAAGAACTATATACAACCCCTTTGCTCCTTGCACCTTATTCTGCACCCAAATTAAGCACTATTTAACTAGCAAAGTGGAGTTGGATATGCCCTAAATGTACGGTAGACCTTGTGCTGTAAATCATTCAAATGGGGCCCTGAAACAGACAGATGTTCAGACATCTAAATTTTTATTTACAGAATATACTGCACTGTGTACCAATGTAACGCCTTACATATGTGTATGGAGACAAGTCAGCTGCAAGTCTATTCATTCCTGTGGGAATCTCCATAAAATTTGATGTGCCTCAGAAAACTCCTCCCCTCTGTAATATTTCGGTCCGGAATTTGCCTTAAGAACATCCAAAAAATGAACCTTTTAGGGCGAATTTCTGACAGACTGTATGACAGTGTGCAGTGTTGGGTAAGGGTTACTTTAAAAGTAATCAAAGTACGTTACTGTGTTACTTTTTAAAAAAGTAACCAGTTACTTTACTGCGTTACTCCCTGAGTAAAGTAACTCAATTACTTTAAAAGTACTTTTGAGTAGTCTACATTTCCTATTGGGCAATGGACCACAGGGCGCTAAGCCTACATTTTTTTGTCTCCAAAATTAAAGCTATGGACCACTTGCCCTTCACTGAGATCCAATTCTCCCATCACAGCCATCACTTTGACCAGTTGAAACACAGAACGATCTGCTGCCGTAGACAACTGTATGACAACAACACCCCAGCATTTTTAATATTTCCTCTAGGAATGTTACCACACAGAGTAAAAGGGGGAAATGATGGTGTGAAACAGCAGAGACACTTTGTCAACCCGCCGAGTTAACATTACTGTCATTAGCATCAAGCTAGCAAACAATGGTACATCCTCACGGTCGGACATACAGTAATAACATTAAGAAATAGCGGCGGGGCTTTTACTCACCACAACTGCAGAGGCTCCCAGCTTCATTTGAAACAAACTACATTATAGACGGTCCGTTATTTATTTATCCCTCTGTGTGTTTATATATTTACTTTTTATCCGCTCCGTTGTCTTTATAAAGTTAACATATCACACCGTCATTTCAAACTCAACACTTGTTTCAAATTAAAAGCCCCTTATAACCTCAGCTGAGAGAATCCCTCCATTTTCTAAATAGGCTTTTATTCTGAAACATTTGTCAGAACTTCCTGTGGAAGATACAGTAGCTTGATAGTTTACGTATGGCGCATCAAATGTAGCTCCTGCCATCTGCTGACGCTTTTAAGTGACTACAACAACATTTTGGCTGGCACATGAACAGACACAGTGACTCAGATAATAGTGAAAGTAATAAAAATAGGACAAGAATAACCCGATGACATCACACACGCCGTGAAAGACAACCGGGGATAATTGGTGAGTACCACCGTGTAGCGTGTACCAGGCATAATGCAAGTCCTGAGTTTGAAATATGTCTGTCAGCGAGTCCTACTCCACCTATTTAGACTCCACCGTAGACAACAGCAGCATTTCTCCGACCACGTAGCGAGCCACAAGCTCCATAGCTTCTTTCAGACTGATAGGTTTAACGTTATCTCCGTTATTAGAACCAAACGACAGCTGTTGCTGTTTCGGAGCTGAAGGACCAGCATTCTAAAAGTAACGGAAGTAACTGATGTCTTGTTTGAAAATGTACTTAAGTATTTGATTACTCAAACAGCAAACTAATGCGTTAGGTTACTCGTTACTGCAAAAACTAATCAAAGTACTCTAAAGCGTTACTTTGTAATGCGTTATACCCAACTCTGACAGTGTGCTAGCGTAGCAAACAGGCTGCTAACTAGCTAACAGGCTATTTCCTTAAATTCAGTTGCCTATGTTGATTGTCAAGTGAGTTTGTATGATTAAAACAACTTGTTTATCTAGTTTTAACACATTGTCCATCCATCCATCCATTTTCATCCGCTTATCCGGGGTCAGGTCGCGGGGGCAACAGGCTGAGCAAAGCACCCCAGACATCCTTCTCCCCGGCAACGCTTTCCAGCTCCTCCTGGGGGACCCCAAGGCCTTCCCAGGCCAGCCGTGATATGTAATCCCTCCTGCATGTTCTGGGTCTGCCCCAGGGCCTCCTACCAGTGGGATGGGCCCGGGACATGTCCAGCGGGAGGCGCCCAGGGGTCATCCTAGTCAGATGCCCGAACCACCTCAACTGACCCCTTTCAACGTGAAGGAGCAGCAACTCTACTCCGAGCTCCCTCCGGAGGTCTGAGGTCCTCACCCTATCTCTAAGGCTGAGCCCAGCCACCCCACGGAGGAAACTCCACTCCACTGCTTGTATCCGTAATCTCATTCTTTCAGTCACTACCCACAGTTAATGACCATAGGTGAGGGTTGGGATGTAGATGGAACAGTAAATCGAAAGCTTTGCTTTCTGGCTCAGCTCGCTCTTCACCACGACGGACCGGCACAGCGCCCGCATCACTGCAGAAGCCGCACTGACCCACCGATCCACCTCATGCTCCATTCTACCCTCACTCGTAAACAAGATCCCAAGATACTTGAACTCCCTCGCTTGAGGCAGTTACTCTCCCCAACCCGGAGAGGGCAATCCACCGGTTTCCGACAGAGAACATGGCCATAGACTTGGAGGTGCTGACTCTCATCCATTTAACACATTGTGAATCTGAGTAATGTTATTCTGCTAAAGGATAGTAATACATTATGTACAGTTAAATTGTCATTTTGACTCGTTTAGCCATTCATATGTTTTTCTTAATAAAATTCTTCACAAAACATGCTATGTTCCTAGCAGGCCAACATCTTCATTTCGTTGCTGCCATGCAATATTGGTCCTGTTTTTGTCCCGATAATGTTCCAATTGCATATTCCAAACTACTGGATGGAGAAAATCGGACAAAATTAGCCTCTCCCCCATGGCTACTAGTAGTTTCTATCAGGTTTCTATCCATCAATAAAGAAATGCACTTCGTTGTGTTGGATACTAGAAGCATCATCCATATATTTATGGATCTACAGACACCAGTCATATATGTAAGTGGGCGTAGGGAGGCGTAAGCTTTACACAGATATTCTGTAGGAGACCAGTGTTAACAATGCCTGTTAAGCTTGGTGATTCAGTCTGAAAAGGGTGTCCTGCAAGTGTTATTTTGTAACTTTTTATTGACTGATTAAATGACTGATTGATTGATTTCATCCGTCAGGAAGTCATCATGATTCCACTGGACCATAAACACCTGGATATAGACGTCCCATACTTTGCACGTGTGGTCAGGTGAGTTTCCTACTCATCTGTTTTCACAACAACTCCCACAGATTGTATGCACATTGCAGTGATTACTTCTTTATTTCTCTTTGTCCATGTAGCACAACTGAGAACGTGGCTGTTTACATCTGGGACAACATGGTGAAGGTGCTCCCATCCAACCTGCTCTACGAGATTAAGATTCATGAGACCGATAAGAATGTTGTCATATATAGAGGAGAGTAGAGTGATGATATAGGCTCATTACCAATACACCCCTTGCCCCCACTACTCCACCCTGAGCCATCAGTTTTGCATGTTCATGTCTCGATTCTCGTTGGGATAGAAGGGTAGGGCAAGTTGCTAGAGCTACATGACTCTCCAAACCAAAGTTTTTAAAAGGCACATTCAAAACTGAGTTTTAAGAAAATCATCTGCAAGATGGCTGCACAAGCAGCAAAAGAAAAGGTTATTTGTTAATAAAGATTTTAAAACTTCACAACTCTTCAACATTTTCACTTGAAAATCACCAGTGATATGCTGATGTATTGGTAGCTAACAACCCTAGCTAGCTAATGTAGCATTGCTATTGCTGATTGCATTTCCATTCCTACATTTTGCATTTCCATGTTGCATTCTGCCCCCCTTTGATCGCATATGACATCAAAAATTTAATTGTAATTGAAGTCCAGCAGTGAAGTTGCTGCACTTGTCAGCACCCTTCTAACATCGGTGCAGACTAGCAGGGTAGGAGCACAGGTTACTAACTTAAGCTGACAGAGTACTGCCTAGTTGTCTGGTAATAAAGAAGTGTTCTCTTTTATTTAATGACTTGTCTGATCGATTGATAACGTTAAACTTGTGAATGATTTGTGAGCGTCCATGCTTTTCTATCTCCATTAGATATATGGCAAGTGTCATAGTGATAATATAATTATTGCCATAGTTATATGTGTTTTTACATAAAAGCCATGATGCTTACTGATGACATATCAGGGACTTGAAGGGTTGTGGGTTGTCCCATTTAATAGGGGAAGATTCCAACTGTTCCACCTTATAACTCTGTTCAAAGGGACACTTAAAAATAAGGGGTAAAGGTAAAAATTAGAAATAGCATTGGGCCATAATTTGGTGTCTTATATGGTAACACTTGTCATGTATAAATGTCAGTTTATTTAACTTCACCATGTGCCTACCGTTGACTGCAGACTTTGGTTAGCTGAAATAATACGGATTTATGAAGGCTGATAGATGATACTTTGCTGACATTTGCAGTTTATTAGACCAGTGATTTCCAACCTTTCTTGTTTGCCACTTAAGCAATGTTAAGAACTGACTCTTATCCATTTAACACATTGTGAATCTGAGTAATGTTATTCTGCTAAAGGATGGTAATACATTATGTACAGTTAAATTGTCATTTTGACTCATTTAGCCATTCATACGTTTTTCTTAATTAAATTCTTCACAAAACATGCTATGTTCCTAGCAGGCCAACATCTTCATTTCGTTGCTGCCATGCAATATTGGTCCTGTTTTTGTCCCGATAATGTTCCAAGTGCATATTCCAAACTAGTGGATGGAGAAAATCGGACAAACTTAGCCTCTCCCCCATGGCTACTAGTAGTTTCTATCAGGTTTCTATCCATCAATAAAGAAATGCAATTCGTTGTGTTGGATACTAGAAGCATCATCCATATATTTATGGATCTACAGACACCAGTCATATATGTAAGTGGGCGTAGGGAGGCATAAGCTTTACACAGATATTCTGTAGGAGACCAGTGTTTATTTAACTTCACCATGTGCCTACCGTTGACTGCAGACTTTGGTTAGCTGAAATAATACGGATTTATGAAGGCTGATAGATGATACTTTGCTGACATTTGCAGTTTATTAGACCAGTGATTTCCAGCCTTTCTTGTTTGGCAAACCCTGATTACAGTGTGCATTTGTATACAGTTCAACCATAGAGTAATTGTTTTCTTGTTTTTGTTTTTTGTAACACGTTTTTTTATGCTTTACCTCATGTCCCCTTGAGGGTTCTAACCTCCTGATAGAAAAACCCTGATTTAGACCTTCAGGAGAACCCAAACTATGAATAAACCATTCTTATACATGTGGGGTAAATAATACCATGTATGTGCCTTTCATTTTCAGTATATCAGTTCCATTTATCAGCATTTTGCTTTATTCCTGACATGAACAGTTTGACTCTTTCATAGTAAACAGTGTTTCAACTGTAACTGTAGAGGGTAGGAGGAATGATTATTCTAATATGAAACCCCACATTGAAAAAAAATGTAATGTGGTTGTGGAGATTTTCACAGTGGCTCACCAGACTCCTTGTGAACTAGTGAAATATTGACACCTAGTGATATTAAACTGTACCTCTTTCCAGTTGTTGCATTAAACCTGATTGTAAATGATAGAAACCCTCACCTCCCCAGCAAAGAACACTTTTCCCAGAACATCTTCAGCAATGATGTCATAAGCTTCCCCACTGTGTCCTGTCTTCACAAAGCTGTAAGTCTTTCTCCAGCATGTGACAAAGTACTTAACCGGCTCAGGGACCTCCTGTAGAAGAAAATGGAGACAAAATCAGGATAAAGAAAATCTTGTCATTTAAATAGTGCCTAAATAATAAATGAATAAATAAATAGTCTAAAATGCTCACTACAGAGCATGGCCCTCTCAGATGCAATAAATCCCTCTCTCTTTAGGGCCAGCTCCCACTGCCTCCTCCTCTCTTCATTTTTGGGAAGCCTTAAAAATGTGAGGAAGTGGCCATAAATATAAATAATTGTCAAAATTGTCCACCCTCCACATGCCATGTGAGGATAAGCATGAGCAACGTCCAACTAATTATCTGAGTAAGTATATTTTTTTGATGCGGTCTGTGATGTTGGAAGGTATGCATATTAGAAAGTGAAATTGATGGTGTTCCTGCCTTTTGAATTGAAAAATGTGGGCGATATCTGAGCACATGGTAGTTAATTTTAGCTAGCCTTGCAGCTAGCCAATTAATATCAGGAGCTTATAGCAATTTTTGAATTTTCAGCTTTTTTATAAATTTGACCGCCTCCTCGAATGCAGCAATATTTCCGTTAAGAGAGCTAAGAGTGTATTTTAGCATCAAAGTATGTCAGAATGGCAATTACATCAGCGGGTTGGGGGTGTGGTGCGGACAGTTGTAGTGACATGGTGAAGTTTGTAGGGACACACCTGGCAGCAGAGCTCTGTCATGAGGTAAGAAAGCCTTAAAAAACTTGTGTTGGTGACTGTGGCCTGCAAGTTACAGACAGAACATTTTCTTAGCAGCTGTGTTGAGAGGGTTCATTAGTGTTTTAGCCTCAGCCTCACAGCTAAGGGTAAGCTAGCAGAGTGACTGAGTGGGCTATCAAGAGTGAGGTAGCGGGAGTCTTAGTCAGGGCAGACAGACAGGTGTGCCTCTTGCACGGAGCTGGGTGAGCAATATTTTTGAAATTTGTCATACATTGCAGAATGTTGTGACAGGAATGAGCAGTCTGCTCCATCTTTGTGCATGAAAGAGTTTTGATGGTTATTGCAGTTCTTGGACAGCAGAAAAACGTGTTTTAAACACCTAAAATAATTAGTTTAAGTGTGTGCAATATCAGAATATTTTCACCACTATGTCTTGCTGTCAGACAGTCCTTTCTGATGGGGAACTGAAGGTGTAATGTCCATGTAGGGTCCTGTCAAACCCACCAGACTCCTTTCACAGAACAAAGCAGTTTCTGGTCTACTGCTACTGCGAGCAGTTAGTCTGGGTTACTGTGTGACTTTTGTGTTTTAGCACATTAGTTAAGATCCAAACTAACATTAGTTGCAGTGGGTTTTGTTAGCAGTAGACCAGAACAATGTCCTGTGAGGTAAAATTACAGGCAGGAGTCTGATTGCTTTAAAATGTGTGACTTGCAGATTCAAATCCTCATCGGGAAAGGCTGTCTGATGGCAAGATAATGCTGTGTGAATACTCTTACCATAGTGTACACTTAAAACTATTGACTGTTTTCTGCTGCCTCCATCCACAGCAGAAAATTGCATAGCTTCTGTTTAGGGACTCCTGCTTCTTCTCCAAACTGTGGGCAAGTACCTCATACAACCACACTGAAATAAATCTGAACAGTCACATTGTAACATAAATAAGATACACGTACAGATATTAAACAAATACTGTCCACTCAGTATAATTGTATTACTTTTTCTTCCTCTGATTTTCTTCAAAGTAATATGTTGACCAGTATGGCTACTTCAGCAGTGTTTCGCATCATCCTAGGAGAAAATGACTCCAAAAAATTAACCTTGCCTTAGGGAATACAAGGCTCTGCTGAGAAACTACAAAGTGAGATACACAGACAAGGTGAAGTGTGAGGAGACTTTAGACTACAACTAGGAAATGCATTTCCTGTGGAAAATGCATGTGATGCTGAATTGAAGAAAATGCTGCAATGCTGAAAGTGCAGAAATATCAAATTGCCACAAATATCTGAAAATCCTTACAGAGTTGAACGTTGTGACATTTGAATGGTTTCTGTAGCTAAAGGTATGTAGAAGTAGTAAGTAATCAAAACATATACTTAAGAAGTAGTAGAAGCAGTACTACTACTGGTAAAGTATGAGCAGCAGTTGCAGTAGTTCATACTTTAAACAGCATAAAAAGTAGAAACAAAATGAAGTATGAATGTCCTTAAAGAACTAAACATTTTGACATTTGAATGGTTTTTCTAGCTTAAAGTATGCAGAAGTAGTAGTTAATCACAAAATGTACAGGCGTAGTAGAGGCAGCATTGGTAATAGCAATAGTAGCCTAGTAGAAGTCATGGTTATAGTCATCATATCACCAGTAGTAATATGAATATATATAGTATATGTCTGTGTATTGGTGTGTCAGAGCACTAGTAGCACTAGTATTACAGAAACAAGCAGAAACTGAAGGAGGTCTGATCAGCTCATCACAGCATCCTTTATCACACTTCTAGGTGTTTATCACCTGCTGATAAACACCTAGAAGTGTGATAAAGGATGTTTATAAACATGCACACTGTTGCCATGGTGATTAATGAGGGGCACCTGTGAGTGTGTCTGTTTGAAAGAGCCATGATCAGAACACTGGTTAGAACACAGAACCAATGCTTGAAAAAGACAGTGTAGAACCAAAGTCTTTTAGGTTGACTGAGAAATCGCAGTTTTAAAAAAAAGTCTCTACATGTGGGCTTTGCTCAAACTTGATGACAGAAAATAACATTACAGCCAGTGGGAGGGAGAAGGGACCTCTTGTTGCTTGAGGCAGAAAATTCCTACTGCTTAAATACATAGCTAGATAAACTTTATTGTATGTCACAAAGTGACAGAAATTTGTCTTTGACAGGCTCATAAGTACAAATACAAAAACATTAAAGCAACATTGAAAGCACAATACCAAAGCATACAAACAGGGGCTGTTAAAAAAGCAACTTGTGTCTATTTCTGGTTGTTCAAAGTGGTTATTGCAGAGGGGATGAAGGATTTTCTGTAAATGTTTTTCTAGGCCAGTGGAACCTTATAACGTTTCCCTGATGCCAGCAACTGAAAGCAGTGGTGGAGGGGGTGAGAGGAGTCTTCTGTGATCAGGGTGGCTTTCCTTAAAAAGATTCATTCCCTCACTGTTACAAGTGATGTTGTTGGTGTAAGCAGAAAAGAGAACTGGAGATAAAACACAACCCTGGGGTACACCTGTGTTTATTGTTTGATTTAAAACCTTTAAAAAGCACCTGTTGTGGTCTGTCATATGAAAAGTTCCTAACCCATAAAACCAGTGTGGGATGAACTTGAAGGTCTAAAAGGGCATACAGCAAGATGTCTAAGTGCACAGTGTTAAAAGCAGTCCGTAAATAAGATCCTGGTGTGAGGGTGTGCAGAGTCCAGGTGTTTCCAACAGTATCCAACAGTGTGAGACTTGCATCCTCTACACCTCGTTTTGCCTTGTAGGCAAACTGAAAAGCATAGATATTTGCATACCCAAAGTAAAGCTGAAAATGTCTGGTTTTGCTTTATTTATTGAATTAAGCCAAATATTCTTAAAATCAAAATTAAATTGTATTGTAACAATTGTAACAATTAAAAATGTCACCTCCACACACATAGGCCAACTGTATGCAGTTTGTAGTTTTAAGCTTGAATATAGCCTAGTTATGAAATGTTCTTTATCCATCCCTCCATCCATCCATCCATCCATCCATCCATTTACATCCGCTTATCCGGGGCTGGGTCATGGGGGCAGCAAGCCAAGCAAAGGATGTCCGAGCTCCTCACCCTGTCTCTAAGGCTGAGCCCAGCCACCCCCCTCTGTACATTAAAAAGGAAATACAAAACCATTTAAACAAATAAGCATAATGTGTTTTACTGAATTTTATTTATTAACACCCAAAGTTCATGACCATAGGTGAGGGTTGGGACATAGATGGACCAGTAAATTGAAAGCTTTGCTTTCTGGCTCAGCTCGCTCTTCACCATGAAGGACCAGCACAGCGCCCGCATCACTGCAGAAGCCGCACTGACCCACCGATCCACCTCATGCTCCATTCTACCCTCACTCATGAACAAGTCCCCAAGATACTTGAACTCCCTCGCTTGAGGCAGTAACTCTCCCCCAACCCAGAGAGTGCAAACCACCGGTTTCTGACAGAGGACCATGGCCTCAGACTTGGAGGTGCTGATTCTCATCCCAACTGTTTCACACTCGGCTGCAAAATGCACCAGTGCATGCTGGATGTCACGGTGTGATGGAGCCCACAGAACCACATCATCTGCGAAAAGCAGGGATGCAATTCTGAGGTCCCCAAACCGGACCCCTTCCTCCCCCCGGCTGCACCTCGAGATCCTGTCCATGAAGATCACAAACAGGATTGGTGACAAGGGACAACCTTGGTGGAGGCCAACACCCACCGAGAACGTGGTCGACTTCACACTGAGTATGTGGACACAGCTCTCACTTTGGTCATACAGGGACCGAATGGCTCGTAGCAGTGAGCCTGGAACCCCATACTCCCGTAGTACCCCCCACAAGACCCCCCAAGGGACACAGTCGTAAGCCTTCTCCAGGTCCACAAAGCACAT